TTTATTTTAACGAATTTCTTCTAATTTTATCTAACGTGCTTGAGATCAAAAATACGTATTTATTTGATTTATGCGTTGTATAAAAATTCTTTTACCCCATGTATTTTAAAAGTCAACTGCAAAATTTTATTTAATGGTCTTATTATAGTTGTTAGACAAAACTTTGAGGTTTCGCGCTGATGAAAACGCGAAACCTAGTTTCGTCTTTGTCAATTAAAATCTTAAATGACGAAATGACTAAATTGACGAAAGGTGACGAAACTGACGAAACTTTAAAAGGTAACAAAACTATAAATGTTGAAAATATTGAAGATTATGTGTATAAAAAATAAACTAATAAAAACAGAAATTTATTAAATTACAAAAAATTTTATTGTATAATAGGCACTTGAATTGTTTAAAGGGAATTAGAAATGAGTATTCTATATTGTATTATACTAGTACACTACATATCATTTCTAGTGAGAAGTCACTTGGTGCTTACTCTGCGCCCTTACAAATTTATTTTGTGTCAGTATGTTTTTAATTCGTTATTTTGTGCTATTCCATGAGTACTATGGCTTTTTAACAAGGTTATTTCAACCGGTCTCTATATAACAACTCTAGCGTTATCCAGAAAAATGAACTTGTTTATTTATGTTAGCATACATGTAATTTATTTCAATGAAAATAACATTTTTTTTTTTTTATAGCGGGAGCACTAGGGATTTGTCTTTTTGAGCGTAAGGTTTCGTCGTTTTAGTTAAAGGTTACAACTTTCGTCATAAAAACTTGGGGTTTCGACTTTTGTCAGAGGTTTCGTCTTTCGTCATCATGCAAAAAAAGTTCCGTCTAACAACTATAGTTTTTATTCAATATGTTTGCTAAAAAAAATTTTCATTGTTATTTGTTACAATGATTTTAAAGTTAGCAGCTACATTTTAAATTAACGTTTTAGTATCTAAAATCGATCCTAATTTTAGGTTCAATTTTCGGATTCCAAACCTAAATCGGACATTTCTAAAAAATCGTAGAGTATGGCTTTAAGGCTTCCACTTCGTTTCCCTCAGCTCCAGCCAAAAATACCCGACCTAACTAAAGTTACTGTACTAGTTCAAAGCAGCACAAAAATTTAGAAGTTCCTGGTCCAGAGCATGAGAATTATGGTGACAAAAAAAACGATCGATCCAATTAAGGTTATTTAAGCTTAAGAATTAAAAAAAAAACGATCGATCCAATTAAGGTTATTTAAGCTTAAGAATTAAAAAAAAAACACCGATTGATTAAATCACTTAATCCAAAGTACAAGAATTTTAAAAAATTCCCGATCAAATTAAGGTTCTGGCCTAAAAGCACGAGAATTAAAAAAAATACTCGACATAGTAAAAATTAAAAAAAAAAAAAAATACCTAACCTGGCTAAGAATCCTACTCCAAAACATGAACGAATTAAAATCAGTAGATTAGAGATTCCCGATGATCAATACGAGACCGGGAATCTTCCTATGGAAGATTCCCTATATGATCATCATAAATATAATTAATTACGTGCAGGCAGTGTTACGAAAACTTTGTGTTCGAGTTTTCTTTGTAATATTTTTTTTATTATTGTATTAGTATTCGTTACTATATTTGTTAGTACTATTGTATGAAGTGGCTGTGTATGGGAGATCTGGGTTTAGAACCACAGATCGTGGTTTGGGACCATAGATCTTGGTCTAGGACCACCGATATTGGTCTGAGACCACTGATATTGATTTGAGACCCAAGAACTTGGCCCAGGACCATTTGATCTTGGAACGTATAAATACAACAGCTAAACTAATAAAGAACATAAGAATGAACTGACATCTTTTTGCTTCTATTAACATTCCTTAATAACCCGCTATCATTAATTCCGAATCCCCTAATGAACATTCATCTCGCATAACCTATGTTTACAACCCTGAGTTAATTTGACCTCATGTTAGCCAAGTCTCTCCCACGGTTGTAACAGCAGTCATGAGTGAACACTTAGTGCGACAGGGGATTAATGTAATTTATCAACCGAAATACCATCATCATGTAAAAATAAAATATAATTTAGATCCATTTTTTTTACTCACGTACTACTGTATCATAGACGGACTTCATTCGGTTGGCTGATGTATCAATTGCTCGGGTAAGGGAAGTGTCATTTATCAGCTGATTTTTTGTAAATAGTAAAATCCCCCCCTCCCTCAAATGATTACGATTATATGGGCAGCCGTCAATAGAAATCAAGCAAATCTACATTTGAAAAAAAATCAATGCCTTAACTTTCATAGCTCATATCTCGATAAATTTTTGATGATTTAATATTCAAAAAAAAAAAGCTTAGGATTTATGCTTTATTTTGAATATTAAATCATTAAGATAGCTTTTAAATCCATCGAGATATGAGATGTGAAAGTTAAGGCATTGATTTTTTTTCAAACGTAGATTTGCTTGATTTCTATTGACGGCTGCCCATATATAAACATATATACATATGATCATTAGCATGATATTTTGGCACCCACTCCCCTGCTAAAAAAATCTGACACTTCCCTAACTTATTTATACAATTTAAAGTACTTTTTAGGAGCGCAACGTTTCACTAGCAAAAAATTGCCGTAAAAGCAAATTCTAACTTTAAATTAACGAAGTTGTTAAAATTAATCCAAAATAATTTACTCCTCCAAGAGCTTCACTCATGAGTGAATATTTTTACTATATTGCCAGTACTAGTTATATTAACTATATGTAAGTTTAAATGTAAAAAACGGGCAACAAAAAAAGAAGATTGAGAAGTTACCCCTATAAGAAAAATGTACGGATTGGTGTGGAATAGCACGGTTTCGATAGCACGGATCAAACCAGGATTTCGTACGTAACAGGCTCGAATTAGTGCAGATTTTTGGCTCGTGTTGGACCGTATACCAGTGTCAATTGGACCGTTTATGACTTGGGTTTTGCAACATTTTACTAGTCCAATTGGCACGGGTTTTGGCATGAACGTACGTACGTACGTGCCACTATAACTGATAATAATAAATATACATACTAAAACATAAATTTATATCAATAGTCATCACTATAATACGTATTGAAATTAAAGTAATTGCGTATGGTAGAATTTTTTTCGTTAAGACATCCTGAACAATTTTATCGGTGAAATTTGAGATATTGCATGTTTTTTTTTAAAAAAAAAAATTTACTGAACCTTCGCTCTTGAGACACGTGCTTATACGTATAATTCAATACGTTACATTCCGTATGACGTGACAAATCGTGCCACCACTTTGCCGTAATGTCCATATCATTTTTAGCCGTGCCATTATGTAAAATGAGCCTCTATGTGCTACACAACCGTACCTTTCCGTGCATTGCCGAAACCTACCCGAGCCACACCGAACCACTTTTCTTATAGGGTACATATAAGCTATAAGGGGAGTGACAAAAATCAGGTGATTTTTTAGGGGGGTAAAAAAAAGTTAAAATTATATATCAGTATATAAAGACCTGATCAAATATATAATAAGAAGGGGGGAGGGGGGTATGCCTCCGATAAAAAAAAATCAGGTGATAAATGATACTGCCCTGAGTATACTGTTTGATATGCTATATATAATAATAATAATAGACTTGTACTAATGCTTATATTTTTACGTATCCTGAATATCAGTAAATGTAACTTTGGGTAGGTCGATAATATGTATAAGTGTTATTGTTTCATTAATTAGATGGCTAAAGGTCACGTCGTATCTCTAATAAAGGTCGCAATGACTAGAAGATAGAATTATTTTAATTACTTTTCAAAATGTAATAAATAAAAAATAAAAGATAGCCTCGTTAATAATTTATTCGCATATTGAATTTTTGATCGATTTGAGCTTGGGTTTATTAGTTTATGTGTCACATATCTATTTCTAAAAATGATGCATTTATTCGTCTTCTAGTAGTATTAAACCGCATTTTGATTGCTAATTATCACGGGAAATCATGGGTATATATGAACTTACTTTTAACAACCCGATTTTGTATATTATTTTTCTCGTAAAAAAATGAAAAAAAAGCGTGGACATAAAGAATATTGTAACATTGCTAAATAAAAACATCAAATTAATCTGGAGTATGATTCCAAACTAAAAATTGAAATTATAAAAACTGTACATAATGTTTTATTTTATTTTACGTTTGAAGATAAATTTTACAGAGACAAAAAATATAAAATTATAAAATAAGTCCTTGAAAGAAAAAAAATAAACCACCCAAAAAAATAAATACTTTACAAACATAAATAAATTTTACACGAATACAGTCGATACTGTCTAGTTGCTTGCCATCCTTCAGAAATTTTTTCGAGAGTTTAACAGTATACGCATTTAGACTAAAAGCATTGTTAATAAATAAATTTTTTGAGTATTAGAGTATATGAAAACGAACAGTATCGACCGTATTGAATTTTTCACATATCGTCGTTTTGGACATTTGAGTCGTCATCCGATAAAGTTTTTAGATGTTGTTTTAGATTCTCTGCATTATTCGATATAGAATATTGAGAAAAAAACGGGTATTACTACATGCACATTCTAGGTACTGTGTTTGAACGGATGAATTTTTTTGAGGTAGTTCCATTCTTTTGTTTTGTGTTATACGTTGAGTGTCGTCGTTGCAGTTTAGGAGGCGTTTGAAACACTTGAATCTCGAGCTCTTGTTCAAGATAGTGCAGTTGAAGCTTGAACTTTTGTTCAAGATTGTGAAGTTGAAGCTTGAACTCTTGCTCAAGATTGTGCAGTTGAAGCTTGAACTCTTGTTCAAGATTGTGCTGTTGAAGCTTGAACTCTTGTTCAAGATTGTGCTGTTGAAGCTTGAACTTGTGTTCAGGATCGTGCTGTTGGAGTTTGGACTCTTGTTTAAGATTGTGCTCCTGTTCAAGATTGTGTTGTTGGAGCTTGGACTCTTGTTTAAGATTGTACTCTTGTTCAAGATTGTGCTCCTGTTCAAGATTGTGTTGTTGGAGCTTGGACTCTTGTTTAAGATTGTACTCTTGTTCAAGATTGTGCAGTTGAAGCTTGAACTTTTGTTTAATATTAAGTTGTTCAAGCTTAAGCATGCGTTGTTTAGAAAATTTATCTTGTGTCATGATATCTTTAAATGTGATTTTCCCCATAATTGAATAGAACAAGAACAGAAAAATGAAGAAAAATGAAGAATGCCTTTAGCCCAGCCGAAGTATTTATTAAATAGTAAGCGAAACAGTTAAGAATTACGAAATTATTTGTGCTTTCTATATATTTTATCTTCAAAACGTCAAAATAAGTTATGTCAAAATATGTAGTTCTTATATTTTTAACTCCTAGTTCGGATGTCAGATTCCGGATTAATTACTGTAAAATGTTTTTGTTTAGCAATGTTCTTGATGTTCTCGCTTTTTTTTCATTCTTAGAAATGTTAAACAATCAGTACATTCCATTTGATAGTTACACTAGATTAAACATTGAAAAAATTTTCCAATAAAAAGTAGAATAAATAAATTATTTAACAACAGTATTTCTAAAGATTAATTGCATAAAGCAACTTAAAAGAAACGTATTTTCTCAAAATTATTTCGAATCAGAAGAAGTAGCCGAACTTGCAAAACTCTTTCGCAAATTCCAAATAGAATTCAAGTTGCTAAAAATGGAATAATCATCTCTACATTTTTTTCTCACTACGTATAACAAAGCATTTTAGTCGATACTAAAGTATAATGATGGGACTGATTAATATTAATTATTCTACGGTTTCCTATCATGTATTATATACGCGGAGTTTAAAAAATAAATAAAATAAAATATAAAAGATTATTTAGAATTAAAACGTTAATATCATATCGTCATGCTACGTGCCCTGAGTGATTATTTTTTATTTTGTTATACATAAGTATCAGTCATAACTTACTGTACAATTCTATCTTTTGCCCAGAGTAAAAAAAAATCATTGTAAAATCGAGAGTGTCAAAATCAATTAATTAGATCAGAAATATTGAGAAAAAGGAACTAGCAATCAAATTATGCACGGATCTATCGATTGTGAAATAATATCAACTAATATGGGTGGTGATATTTGCACAGATCATAATTCTCATTCAGGATCGCCTCCTTTGGATTATAATACCGCAAATGTTAGATCACGCATCTATCGTTCATATACGTATTCTCCGGCTTCTAATAACAAGCCAAGTGTTAGGCTTGAAGTTTGTACTTCATCCGAATATCAACAGTTTTATGATAATCGTACTTCATCCGAGAATCAACAGTTCAACGATATTTAACGATCGTGTGTTCTCTAGTTACTAATTTGCCAGGTGGTGCCATTCCGCATATTCAAATTGTACAGTATAATTCCGGAAATAGATTCAAAGGTTCAGAAAATGAATCTGATATTTGTAATCCATTTCCTATAATTTAAGTTCCAGAGAGTATAACATATAGATGGAGTACAGAATAAAGTTAACTTTTGTGCAATAATCGTCATTAGATTATCAATTTCTACTATGAAAATATCAAATGTTGTAAGGACAAAAATTGTTATTAATATTGATAATGGAGCTTAATGGAATTCTAAATGAATCAATGAATAGTAATTTATTGAGTTCTATAAATAACCATTCATGACAAGTTGGTCTGTGGATTTTCGACATATACCTAAATTATTAAAGCAAGATGCTCAAACCTGACACCTCTCAGATAGTGGCAGACGTCGGGTTAGGAAGCTCCAAAGAAATTGTACTTAACAGATCTAATTATTGAATAATATTTGAATACTAATCGTAAACTAAAATCT